CATTGTTGACCCCAGCACAGTGGGGCTCATTTTACTTCCTTCTTTCCCCATTGGTCATATTTATCTTTTCTACATCTTTTTCTTCAGCATTACATAGAAATAACAGGAACTTGCAGGACTCCCAGTTCCTGTACAAAAATGGGTACTGCATTATATGCCTTACACTAAAATTCATCCAACCTCTTTTCTGGAGTATAATGTTTTTGTCGGTGCGTTCAGAATTGTGAAAAGATATTTAGGCCTCATAATTTGGCTTTCACAGTTTTCTACTATCTGAAAGTTGTGGATTCTGTATTCTTCACATTCCTGAGATAGACCTCCAAAAGATGAGCTGTTTTCTGTCTTTTGTTTCCAAGAACCAAGGATTGATTCTGTGTTGTTAAGTAAACCTACTGTTGGTTATTATTATGAGATCACTTTGGGTGGGTGGGGTGGGGGGAAGTGTTCTCAGAACCCTTTATGTCAGATAACATGTGAATTGATATTTGAAATGAACAAAGTTACTCAAAAAGTTGAGTGATTTGTTGTTGAGTGATGCAATTGTTTGTCAGTGATTTGTTGTTAATTTATTGACTCCTAAAAGTGACTGAAAGATAAAGAACAATTAAGGCAAAACTTGCTTGATGTCCTTCATGTTCTCAAATGAGTTCAGTGCTCTTTTCATGAGTTTAGTCTTTTATTCCAGTGTGTAACATAGTTCCTTATAGAGGAGACCTACTGGTCAAACCATTTGTGCCTCTTCATGTACAGGTATTTAGGCTGGTAAAAATTCTGTTACCTGAAGATTGTGCAGTCATGTTGATAGTTTGCCCTGTGGGGAAGAAAAGCCTATAGCAATATTTTTCTCTTGAGTAGCCTGAAGCCCCTCCCCAGCTGCATTTGTCTTGGGAGAGCAAAATGGACAGTACAACCAACAGGAATAAACTACCTAACAAACAAAAGGTGGTACCCTAATGATAGGTGGATATGACATCTGAGTGTCTTTCCTTTCAGGAGCATGATGCACGTTAGGGATAGAAGGAAACTCTTTTGCCCCCCCCCCCCACACACACACATGCTATGATTTTGCATAATTACCCTCCCTGGTGCAACTTTCCATGTCACGTGAAACCAGTGAGAATGGCTTGTTGCCTTGGGTAATACTCTTGGTGTTGGGAGTGAGAAAGAGTTGCTCTTGGTGCCCACTCTCCAGGCCTGCTGGTTGGAATTCAGAGGAGAAGAAAGAGCAGGGCGAGGCTCTGAGAATGCCTAAAATGTACAGTTATTGGGAGGGAGGTTGGAATAGGTAAGTTTCTGAAATACAGACAAGCTGGGTTTGGCACTTGACCCCATGACATGACATCAGCCGAGGAGGGCAGTCCAATGAGAGGGCCGCACCTGCAGAGTGCAGGTGTGGTCATTTCCAAAAGGTCTTCTCGAAATGATGAGGCCCAGACATACTCATAAGGGGAGTTTCTAGAAGTAAATACTAGATTGGGTTCAATAAACTACTCTGTGCATGCCCAGAGATTAATTCTGGGGGTTTTGCTTCTGGAAAATGTGTTGGTCAATAAAGAACATTCTGCAAGAAAGATATGTGACTTTGAATCCACAAAGGGTGGAAATGTGGCTTCTGGATGGCTTGTTGGCTGTTGCACAGCCCATCCTCACTGGATTCCACAACATGGCAGTCAGTACCAGTGAGGTAATTGGGCCAATCTCCTAATGCATATGGCAAGGGAAATAAGCCACTGTATGGTACTCCCCACTCTGAAACCTGGTCAGTGCTGATACCTCATTTAGATTGCAGTGACTAATCATGACTACTCAAAAGTCACAGAATTCATTGGGGCTTGCTTACAAGCAAGTGTGTGTAGGAATCCAGCCTTGATATATTAAATCAGAGCTGCCTTTTGTTAATTATCATGGTTGTGCTGATAAGCAATCAGTTTTGCTTTTTCTGTCATGGTTCTCTATGGAGAAATTTCTTTTCACCAGATTCTACAATAGATGTCTGCTGCCTAGATGTGCCTCTGCCCCTATAGTACTTTATTGATTTTTGCCCTGTGATAGTTTGTCCTTGTATGCTTTTTTTTCTTTCTTCCTTTCAACACAAATCCTTTGCCTTTGGAAACTGATCAATGCTTCATGGAAACTGCAGAGGCACAATCACAGTTATTGTTTGGAGGCACTATGGCAGGGAGAAGGCTAAACGAAGAACCACAAATATTCTGCAGGATGTGCTTGTTGATAGGAAAAGAATGAGCTTTTTTTGCTGCTAGGTGATCCTAGCATTTCATGCTATATGCAAGTGAATGACTGAAGTGTCATCTCTTTGGAGGCATTTATTTATTACAGAGTTTACTATTGTAAGCTTCTGTAGGTCCATGTAGACACATCTTACATTTTTGTAAATGTGAGATGCAATCCAATATACAAGGTAAAAGTTATTCTCAAGTCTATCATTTAAAAAAAAAAACATCTTCTCATAAAAGGAAAATAAATGCTTTTTGCCACATTACAAGAAAAAGAATAATTTGTACTGTTGATTGCTCTTGATGTAGCATCTTTGAAATGAATTATGAGTAGTTCTCTATTGATCTGGTTTATTCTAGGTCACTGAGCTATATATCCAAAGTGTTTATACAATCTATTGGAATCAATAAACAATTTAAACTGATGTAACTGTGGAATGTTTGCTAGTCCTAAGGAAAATTGAAAGTAAGACAAAGAATACAACTGTAGAGGTTTATTTTGTTTTGTCAGAGTAAAGTCAGTAAAATAATATAAGCATTCCAACAACATTGCAAAAAATACTGACTTCATAATCCCACATGTAAAGAGAAGGTGGTTTTTCACAGGTATTATCTGAGTCTTTATGGTATATAAATTCCTTTTATTTATAGCTTTAAAAATTATTTTTTTTCAAAATGAGCTTCACAGGCTATCTCCTGTAGGAGCTAGCATATGAAAAAAAAAGCTTTTAATTTAGATTATGGGTGTTAATTCTCAGGTTTAGTCTTGTTGTATGGTGACTTTGGGTGATGTAAATATTAACATAATTGCTTAAAGTGCAGATTACGTTTTATAGTTATGTCTAAAATTAGACAATTAAAAAGGAACAGGTACTGTTTTTATACCTTAAATGCGTAAATTCAGAAAATTAAGTTGAGGGTTATGTGATTGTGAAAGATTTCTTATGCTACAGCGCACACTAGTGGATTATTCTATCATTTCAGCTAAGAAATATACACAATTTATACTATTGTAAAGGATTTTTATAATGGAGATTTGATACACTGGGATACCTGTCCTAAATTTGTCCAGTATAGGGACTAATGTTGTGAGACAGAAGAATATAACTTGTGACAAATCAAAATGCATAATATCTTTAGAAATTAGCTATACTAGTGTATAGGTTCTGGTGAAATTGATTGTACTTAACACAAGCATATATATATATAGTTTGTAAGAGGCTGAAATCTTGTCATGAGCTGTGCTTCTCCCTCCCAGCAGTAATAGTCTCACCAGTGCTTCTTTGCCAAACATGTTTATTTTACACACAAGTCTCTGAGCATACACAAAGCAAAATGTTGAACCTTCTCTAACATTCTTCACCAAAGGTCCCCTTATGAATCTTACTGCTCTGTACCTGGGAGGAGGAGCGCTGTGGAACCAGGCACACCTGCACTCCTCCTTCAGAGGCCCCAACTGGGCTACCATATCACTGTGACAACGGACTGTCAGGTTCACCTCCTCAGGAGGCAGGAGCTCCCCATCCAATAGATCCCCCCCCCCCGTCTATATCTTTTCCCTCGAGATGCTGCTCTTCTCCATTCCCACAGGTGAGGGTTTGACTGGCTCCCTTGGCTGCCCTTGAACTAATCTTCCCCATAGCAGGCACAAGGGGTTACGCAAGGCCTTGGACTGCAGCTGGAACTGGGACTGTTTCAACCATCATCTCGTTATCAGAGTCTGAGCTGTCAGTCCTTCCAAAACAGTTAGTCTGTTGTGTGCTCCCCTGAGGTTTGCCAGAAAGCATGTGCATGGCATATGCACACTTTTTACATATTTCCCTACAACCATGACATACTGCATTTATTTTAAGAATTTAGAAAATGGAGCTGCTATACTCTCCAATAGGTTGTGGGTCAGGCCCTAGTTTGGTATGCATCTTATTCATGAAGCTGTAGGAATCTCACTAAAAGTAAGAGATGTCCCAAAAGTACAGTACAATGCAACACATTGCCAAGTGGCATCCAGACTGCAGCAGAAGGGTGCAACTGTGGCTCCAATAAAATAGATGTTGTCTTTAGTGCTGGGAGATAGTAGTACAAATATAGAACCAGTTTAGCAGGGAATGTGTGGTAGTATGTAGCCACTCAAAGTGTGCTGCAATATCACACAAGAGACTATGTTCTATATTACTAGAATTAAGAGTATGATTTACATCATGGGTCCTCAGACTACAGCCTGCGGGATGGATCCAGCCTGTCATGCCCTTTCATCTGGCCTGTGCTGCCATCCTTTGCGGGAGGCGGTGGCTTGCTCACTCGGAGATGGTTTTGGACTCGTTGGGAGATCTCCCAGCGAGTTCAAAACCATCTCTGAGTGAGCAAGCTGCTGCCTGCCTCCCCCACGCACGTGTGCTCTCTGCTGCCTTACAGCACGGGCTGGTGGCGGTGACTTGGTCGCTCAGAGATGGTTTGGGACTCGCTGGGAGATCTCTGAGCGAGCGAGTCGCCGCCATGAATGCCCAACGCCACCTTGCATACACCCGACGACACCTCACTGGCCTGCACGCCCAGGCACCGCCCCGTCACCGGCCCATGTGTATAACCTCAGCCTTTCAACTGGCCCCCTATTGAAAAAGTTTGAGGACCCCTGATTTACGTTCTTTAAAATCAGTTCACAATGTAAAAGAAAACTTACCTTGTAACCATTTTCAAATACCAAATAGCATCCAGAACTTAAAATATTCACACCAAGTGACATGACACTTAAAATTCATTTTGTTCTAGGTTTCATTCTAGCTGGAACACATCAGCAAATGGAGAAGAGATCCATAAACGCGTGAAAAATATTTTAAGGACACACAGTGCAAGGCAACGGCTAACATTTGTAAGTTTAAAAAAATGTACTTTTTCTCATAATATGTTACAAACAAAACACCTTTTTCTTTTTTGGAACATGATGAAAATTCGGAGATGAGACAGGGTTCTTTCATTGCGCTGATATTTCTCCCTGCCTGACATGCAGTGAAAGACATTTCTACCAAGTTTTTTCAGTATTTAATTGGAAAAGAAGTTACTTTGTGGCCACCATGACAGCTGTCTTTGTAGACCCTTGAGACTGTTAATCATTAATTATAACAGTAATAATGCAAAAGCAATAATAATTCATAATAATATTGTGCAGAGTTTTATAAGAGTACATATTTTATTAGTAATCCTTCCAGTAAACCTGTAAGTATTACTATTTCCATATTGAAAGTGGGAGGGCTTAAAGAAGATTAAGAAATTTCAGTACATACAATTTTTGGAGGGGATAGAATGAAGCGAAATGTTAAATAATAAATTATAGTGCAGACTAAGTTTGCACAAATATCAGTAGCAGAACATACTAAAAATTATTGTTTTAGATGTACCTGTCTCTCGGCTTAATGTATTTCTAACCTAAATTTTACATTGTAATGCTCTCTGTCCTGATTCATTGGGCTACTGAAGGGTTTTTTGCCTAAAAAGGATGGATGGGTGGTTGGGTAGGTAGATTTTCCTTGCTTGCGTAAGGAGAAAATTTATATCTGTGGATGAAACAAAGGAATATATTTTCCTACTGAGATGAGATTACCATGTTTTGATCTTGATTTCATAGGATGAAAGTTGTTTTTCAAAAGCAGAGTCTGCTAAGACAAGAGATTCCACTAAGATAGCAGATTCCATTAAGAAAAAAGATGGCTCATGTATAGAATCTTTAAGCAACAGTGAACTTCAGAGCTGGTAATCTTCTTTTTCCTATTATGCCTTCCTTCTCCCATTATGCCTTCCTTCTCCCAGTCCGTAGTTTCTCTTTTTTGTTAGCTCTCATACTATTTCTTAGCTAATTGCACATTATTCTGTGGATATTATTGTAGCTGGGATAAATTACATGAACAACATGCATAACTTTTTAGGTTAATTCCATGAACAGGACAGGTGTGGAACATATAGAACAGTACCAGGTATTGCCACCATACCTCCATTCATTCTGTTGCATACATGGGACCATCCTCCAATGTGGCAGGAAACTAACATTTCCTAAAACAGCCCCAGGAATGAGACAAAAACGTTTGCTTCCAGAACAGGAGAGGTCATTGTACTTCTGTTCTGTAAGCTCAGGTGTGCTGCCTGTTGCAGAAGTTAACATTTCAGTTTGTTTCTGGCTTTGTGTTCCACTGGTTCCTGGGTAGTACACCTGAATTACAGTTTAGCACAAGTTAGGTGTACTTAAGTCCATAGATAGCAGGCAGCTATCTCATGGCTGTCCCCATATTATGTTAGTGGCATGAGAATCACTGCAGCTGATCTTCCCCTGCCATCGAGATAATATGACAAGCTGCAGATTACATCAGAAGCACCTGCACCTTATCTTCACATCAGGCTTGTCTTGCCCAAGAACTGTGGTAATAATGATGTGGGTAGAAGCTACTCGCCCAAATAGAGGCTTGGTGCTTTACCCATCAATGGGAAGAGACACACTGTAGTGCAGGGACAGGGAAGCCTATGACCTTCCAGATGTTAGATTAGGACGCATATCTGCTTCGGCCACAATAGGAAGAGGGCCTCTTTCTGTGGTAATGTCTGCTGTTGCTCTATTCTGAACACATCTACTCATGCACCCATATTCTCTTGTTAGCCATGTGCGTGATGCTTAGTATGCATAGGTCATTGTGGGACTTCTGGGCCCTAAATAAAGATCTGGAACAGCTATTGCCACTGCATCATTGGAAATGATAGATTTTGAAATGGCATGCTCAAGTAGATCTGGGCACTGATGGGTTCATCACATTCTGTAGAGAAGTCATGAGAGTTGAGGGATAACGAGAGTGCTTCAAGGTCATCTTGACAGCTTGAAGTCTGCCAGCAGTCTCATAAATAACATCCCAAGGCAGAGTTCAGAGGAGAATGTGGTTTTGCTGACCAAATGTTCACACTGAAGTAAATGATTGAAAACCATTGGGACTGCACAGAAGGACTGTGATGTTGAAATATTTAGTGTGCAAGTGACTTTGAAAGGAACTTGTGGGACTCTAAAGGAGATGGAACAAAAGCATGTGACAGGTGTATGACAGGCATTTCCAAAAGTGGAGTGGAGTGCAGTTATCCTGCACTTAATATGATTTGTGCATGTAATCCCCAGATCATTTCAGATTAGCTTGTCAGGATAGTTTCAAGTCAAGGCAGCAGACTGATGTTTTTCTAACATGGCTGTAGCTGGGTGCATGCCAGAATTCAATTTCTTATGAGGAGGAATTGACTAAATGGCGTTGCACCAGAAGTGAGCACTCTCAAGCATTGTGACATTGTCAGCACACTAATGTGAATTTTACAGGGAGTGCTGCCAGTCTTCATAACTGTATCACAGACTTCTGTGATGACTGTGGTTCTGGGTGAAGAAGCCTAGATTTCTTGGAATCAGACTGTAGGTACTGCTCAGCCCTCCTTCATTGGAGCTTGTTAATAAGCAGCAGATGGTCAACTGTGTTCTATAAAGTTAACACCAGCAGATAGTATCAAAGTCATTTTAAAAAGAACTATTGCATAATTATAGCTGTAGAGAATGTTGTATTCTTTGCAGTAACCACAGCCTACTTTTAATGAAGCTAATCTGCTAGTCAGCCTGGCTCTCTTATCCAAAGGCTGAATCATGTCCAGCCTGGTGTGATGAGTTTTTACTGAAAGATAATAGCTACATTGCCTTCAAGATACTTATTTAGGTACAAGGTCAGGAACAGGAGTATGGGAATCTCAGCATTTGGATCATAAAGTTGGACTTTATTTTACATTATGAGAGAGTGCACAGGACATAAGTATCCATCTTACAGTTGTTGCTTAGGTTGACTGGTACGAGCCATCCATGGAATAAGCGCTGCTTGATTCAGTGGAATGGGCAGGCTCTCCCTTAGTGCTTGAACAGTGTTTCTGGATTCTGCTGGATAGAGTTTATTTTCTTTATTTAAACATTTATAAACCCGCCCTTTGCATAGCCTCAGGATGGCATACAACAATAAATAATCATAAAATACAATTAAAACATTCAATAATAAACATTAAAACATTTCAGCTATAACAATCCAGATTAAAAGAAGAAAAGAAAAGAAGAAAGGAAATGCAACTGTAAAATGTCATTCTCTTATTAAAATTATTAATTTAATTATTAAAATGATGGGTAAATAAAAAGGTCTTTTTTGCTTCTTCTGTGCTTCTGCTGAGCATTTTCTGGATCATCCAGTCAGTGATTTGGTCCTGATGGTGCACAGATGTTCTCCCTGAACCCCAGAACATGCACATGTGTGCACGCACGTGTACACACATGGATGCATAGAGGTGTCTTCGAAGTTGCTTCCCCATGGTAGATTCCATGCTACCATGCTGAATGAATATAGCAAACATACGGGGAAGATGCACTTGCTTGTTTAATTCAGTGGTGTGGTATTTTCACAATGACAAAGAGGCTTCCACACCACTTTGGGTGAAAGAGAGCCAAAATCTGCAGATGTAACCTTGGGATTCATAGATATAGAATTGATCAGCACACTGGCTTGATTTCAAGCACTAATCAGATAGCTTCAGATGTCAAATATGTATGCACACAGAAAGTAATGATACCACTTTTCTATATTTATGAAATCATAAAAAGATATAATGTATTTCTGAGATGACAACACTCAGAAAATGCAGCCATGATATATTTTAATATTGTCTATCCTTTCTCAAATAATTAGCTTTACAAGCAAAAGTGCATTCGCATCCTTATGCTATGTTGAGAATAATCACAGCATAAATGTCCATTGCTATTCTGTGAGTTTAGAAAGGTAACATTTTCATGTTTTGTTTTGTTTTGTTTTGTTTTGTTTTGTTTTGTTGTGGGGTGCTGCTAGTTCATCCATACGGCAGAACATCATGGTTCATCTGGATAATGATGACTATTGGACCAGTCAAGCTGCTGAATATAAAAACAAACCCCACAGAGCAATCTTTGAAGACAGCCTGGAGAAAATCTATCGGAACATGTACCGAAAAGCTTCTGGTTCCATTACAAAGGATAAATAAATACCTGGTAGTTACACAGGTGAAACTGAACAGTATACCCGACCGTATTTTTAATAGATACGTTGTTTGTCTAAAAAAAGTTCATATTCTATTTTTTTTTAATCTAAATGTTTTTACACAGACTTGTGAAATTCTGAGGCTGGGATTCCCAATAGGGAAATAAATAAAATCTGTAGGACTTTAAGTAGGATATATTATTTGCTTATGGGTTTGATAGGCATGCCATTATTTCTGTTTCTGTTTTTTAAATTTCTAAAGCATTCAGCTTTAAATTGGGTTGAATTTGCATGTTTATTAATCGCACAGCTGTTGATAGTTTTGCACATACATTGTGTTTCTCTAGTAATAATGTGGGCACACATGGCAACATTTTCCTACATAATTATTGCTTCCAACAACATAGCCTTAATACTGCTAGCAAAAAGTATCCACTGGACTGCTTTTCAATACTGGCATGAAATCTGTAAGTATTTTGTGGAAAATCTGTGATCAGTACATATATACAAATAGTGGGAAGTGGAGTTCCATAGTGCCAAACAGCAACAGCTGTGCACTATCTCATGGTGATTGAAAGTTTGAATTCACTCTTAAATAACACTAATGAAGTAGCTATTAGGGTCAGAGGATGCTTTGCTTACCAAAATGAGCACCCAGTGATGATGACGGTGACACAATCCCTCTTACTAAGGACTGGAGCAGATGAGCATGAAAGGCTTAATATTGTCCCACTATGTGTTGTTTTGGAAACTTTGAAATGCTGCCATACTAATGATAGGCCTTCTTGGCTTTGTTTTACCACTTGTGTGCATCGCCTTCAAGCTGATTTTGTTAGGCCTAATGTGAAATAGGAAGCCTGTCCTTGTTGATGTCTGCTCTATCTTATAGGTCAGATCGGTTACATGCAGTGGTACCTTGGCTCACGAACGTCTTGGTTCACGAACAAATTGGGTCACGAACAAAAATTACTGGGTCAGGAACACCGCTTTGGGTGGCGACCAAGATCGCAGCCATTCCCCCTCGCCCCCTGTGGGGAGATGGCCACGATCGCAGTTGCTTTCATGCAGGGAAAGCGTCCGTGATCAGAGGCGCGTGGCTGCATGAATGACAAGCGGATTCTTGGCAATCTCCCCCACAGCTCTGCTTTGCCGCACCCGTCTTTAGTGCAGCTGCACTCCTCTGATCACGGATCACAGTTGCTTTTGTGCAGGGAAGGCATCCATGATCAGAGGCGCACTGCTGCAGGAAAGATGGGAGCAGTAAAGCAGATCCGTGGGGAAGGTGGCTGAGCTTCTGCCTGTCTTTCCTGCAGGAGCGCGCCTCTGATCAGGCACCCTTTCCCTGCACTAACGGAACTGCGATCGTGGCCATCTCCCCATCCCCAGCACACTGTTTGTGCCCATCTCTCCCTCCCCCAGTGCGTCCGCGATCACGCCCGTCTCTGCTCCCCACCCCCCAGCATGCCTGGATGACAGGCGCCTGTAGGGATGACAGGCACAATCTCTGTCGTGCTGGGTGGCGGGACGGGGAGATGGCCGCGCTTGTGCTTGGGGTGGGGCGGGAAGATGGCCCCGATCTTTGTTGTTGTCACTTTGCTTCACATTTTTCTGATTTAAAAAATGGTTACAGAACGGATTAACCTTATTTACATTGAACCATATGGGGAAATTTAAGTTAGCTGACAACCAATTTGGGTCACGACCGGAGTCCTGGAATGGATTAAGTTCGTGAGCCAAGGTACCACTGTATTTTCTTTTTCCTGTGTTTAATTGTGATGCTGCTACTACTAATCCCTTTTCAAAAAATCACTATACTGTTGCTGCATCCTGCATTGCAGCTCTTGCTTTGACGAGTGGGTTGGGCTAAATACCCTTCAAGGTCTCTTTGAACTGTAGCATTCTGTGTGAGTAGTAGATCTCTGCCATGGTACTCGTTCCCAAACTTCTCCTTAAAAAGTTGTGTTTTTCTCCCAGTATTGCATAAGAGATCTATGTGCATTGTTTAAATATGAAAAGAGTAAGACTGGAGCATTCCAGCTAGCAGATCCACACAGATATGAACATTATGCATGTTCTGTACCTCAATCTGATCAAATTTGGAGCCTGTCCTTACAGGCTCAAGGGATTATTGGCAGAACTGTATTGGCAAAGCTGGCATCTCTCTGCTAAAGGCCACCAAATGTTCACCAGCAGTTTTGAAACTTCCCCTGAGAAGAAACCTTTCCAGCCTTCCACTGAGTATATTTCACATTAACAATCAGGGCTGGCTGCCCACTTTCTTCAGGCATCAAGAAATTTAGAGGCAGAAGTGTTTTCTTCTGCTTCCTCTTAGAAAGGGAAGAAGCAGACATTCCTTTTGGAATATTTGCTTTTTGAGGATGCAGACAAAGCAAGGAGATTCATGCTAAATCAAGAAAAAACAGAATGAGAAAAATAAATTCAGAAAGGTGGTTTCAGACCTGTCTTTTATCCAGGGATCTGGTGAACAGCATGAGGCATGTGTAACATACAACATTACTACCAGTGTCTTTCCCTTGGCTTTTAGGCACTCCCACCTTCACTCACACCAACAGTGAATTCAGGAGGAGTTTGATGAAGACTAACAGAGATGTGGGATATTTTTAGAGAAGTTATTCCCTGGCTTGCTTGAGAATACCTTAGTGGAAGAGCACACTTTTTGCATGCAGAAGACCCCAGGTTCAGGCCTTGGTATCTCAAGATAAACTCTTGCCTGAAACCCTGATGATCCAGTGTCAGCAGTACTGGACTAGTTGGACTCTTGGTCTGGCCGCGTCTTACGCTTCTAATTGCATCTGAGTTCAGCAGGTATCTTCATTATAGGATTTCCGCCTAAGAACCATATGATGTAGCATGTTAGCTACTAGGGTTTGTTGTGATATAAGTAAAGGTGTTAGGGGAGGTATGTTCCACTCCCAGGACTCAAAGACCCTTGTATTTTTATGTGTTTACTGCAACAAAATGAGCTGGAATGCCATGGAGTGTTCTGTTTCTTAAACTTGTGGCCCTCCTGATAGTTTAGCTGACAACTCCCATGATGCCTCACTTGCTTATTCTGGCTAGAGCTGATAGGAGTTCTGGGTTAAAATACTTCAAAAGCCTACCTCTGAAAATGTGTTTTGGGTTCTCATTGTGTTCCAGGATTGGCAGCTGCCCCTCTTCCTTCCTTGTGGCATCAGAGTGCTTCTGCAAAACATCATTGCACTGTAGCTGAACCAGGGTCAATAACACAAAAAGCTGCAGAAGTTCTGGGCTGAGTTCATTACATTCAGTGCCCTGCAGCTCACTCATTAACTGTACTGCTGAGGATCAGACTTTTCATTCCACAGTTTTCTAGTATAATGTGATCTATTATCATGTTAATATCTATTTCAAATGTAAAATGCTGGCAAATATAGGCAAATATATCATTACTCATATATCATTCCCAAGCCATTCTGTCTTTCTGTTGATTGGCAGACAACTTGTGCACAGGCAGACTGTGTTTCCACCTTGACTGCAGTACGTGATAAGTAACATCGTCAGGCAATGGACCAATGTAGTAATAAACAGTCATTATTTAGTGCACCTTGCCTTCTAATGCAATTTAACTCCCTTTTATCAAATGCAAATTTCTGAGATTCCAAGTAGAGTTTCAAATAACATGTTTCCATACTTATTCCTTATCTTTTGCCATTCACAAAGTGTGTCAGTGGCACGGGATGGCATAATTCCACTAGCATTATTTTGCATCTTAAAGAGAGCTGCCTGTTCCAGTACCGAAAAGAAAAAGAAAGAAAGGGAAAAAAGGAAAAGGGGGGAGGGGAAGGAGAACTGGAATTTAGTGGACAAGACCTTTCTTTCCAAAATAATGTTGCAGCATACGCGAATTCGTGCAAGACATTGTATTTTGTTCTGTAAACAGCATAAAAATGTAATCAGCATATGTCAGGCCTGGGCAAAAGAATTTATGAGCTGCAGGCTGCTGAGAAGTGTTGACAGTGTGCCCCATGTGCTCAGAAATCAAAAGGCATATAAAAGGAACCTCAAATACTTTGTGGATTTAAGTATCTGAAAGCCTATTTGGCTTTCAGTGCTAAATGGGTTGATCACTTTAAATGCTGTTTTTATGCAAGTGTTACTGAAAATAGATGTAACAGCATTTTAAAGCATAGATTATTGTGGAGCACTCATAGTTGATCATCCTACACTTGTTTCCAAATGATGAGGGTAAGTACCCAGAAGGGTGCAAAAGTGGTAAAATGGCAACAATTTGTATGAACAGTTTGTCCTAAGTTACCACATGCCATGTGACTGGCTGAATGTAGGTTGTGAATTCCTCCTGCAAAAGCTTCAACAATGAGCCAGTGTTCAGGCACTAGATGTACACCAGTATATTCCAGGTATGATCTGAACTACTGCTAGTTCAACCAATAGTTATCCAACCAAGACAATACAAATTTCACTTGGAAGTTATGAATAGGGTATATAGTGCAGAACTTCAAGCCTTGAGGCCAAATCTGGCCCTTCCCTGGAAGACCCCACCTCTTTCCCCCCACTGATCATTGGGTGGTTTCCTGGATTTTTGTTCTCATTTGAAAAGGTTGAAATGTCTCTCTTTGGTTACTGGTCGCAAGAGCTGTAAGCCAAAATATGTATTTTGGCCCCTCATCTTTTTCCTTTGTCTCTACCCTTTTACATTTTTGCCCTGAAAATGTCTCAACCAGAATTCTGCCTGTGGGCTGAAGGTTCTTTTCTCCCTCTTGTAGTGGATCCATCCTGAAGATAGTTGTTAAGGATGCCAAAGTACTGCAAATATGGTATGGGGATTTGGTTTAGGTTATGACATCTGTATTACTGTCCAAAGAATTAAAACACACATTTAGAATGGAAATACTTCCTATTCATTACACTAAATGAACCCATTCCAGACAAATGCGTCAGTTCCCTCCTTTGAAAGGAATCATGATATTGTATTAGTCAAGTGGCTTCGTAAATTAATCATATTCTGCCACTTGGAACCGATTGGCTGCATTAGTTCAATATGGTTTCCTTCTTTTATTCATGTTTGATATTCTTTATGGATCTAGTACTTCGAATGCCTTCTGTCTTTGTTTGGAGTTTCTTTATCCTTCCTTTTTCCTTTGTGGGGGGTTGAGGCCAGGTCAATGGGAGCATTTGAGTGACGAGAATTTTGAAGGTCAAAAGCCCATCCTGGCTGTGTTTCATTGTAGCCTTTTAACCTATTTAACAGTATTCTGACTCTTCGTGCTTTTACAGCCCTGTGGATTAGATTGGGATTAATCCCGCTTTACCACTCGGGGGTACAAGAATCAATGCTTGCAAACTTTTAATAGCTTTTGTCTTGAAGTGATCTTGTGTGTGTGCACGTGTGCACATGTGCACTCGCGTGTGTGTTTAAAAAAACAAGAGCACCTAAAGAAAGACTTTACTGTAGCCTTCCCGGTTTGCTGGTTTTTAATCATGTAGCTGTCAAAAAATAACCAGCCACTGTTCTTTGTGTGATGGAGCCTAATGTTAAGGCTGTCAGAGTCTGCTGGGAGAGAGACCAAGTGTAATATTGATAGCTTTAGGGCTTGCTGTTTGTCCTCTTCTCAACTTCCACTGATTTAGGGCTCAGTTGGTGTGACCAGGCGTTCTTGCACATATAAGCCAGTGAGAACTTTTAAAATGCCTTTTTTGTGTGGTAGATGACGCAGTAATGCTTGCCTTTCAGTTTCTGAGCAAACCTAATCTTCTTTCAACAGTCAATCTGTTTTATCATGTACAAAATTATTGATGAATAATCAAATGTATCATAAATAACGTTGCTGAAATCTAGTTCCTTCCAAACCCCCATATAAGCTATCTTTATTGTGAGTCACTTCCACAGCTCTTCACCCACATCAGTGAATTATTTTTGTTGGAAATATTAAAAGAATTGTATGACTCGGGAGGATAGACAGCAATCCTCACTGTGTTGTTGCACAGTCAACTAGGAAAATCTCCTGCACAAGCCCCACATGAATGGCACATGTGCAGTTGCCCTGTTATTCTGCAGAATGGGCTCACCAAGTAAATAACTAGCAGTAAAATAGCAGTAAAGTCTGCCATTTTGCAGGTCCCATCTAGTTTAATGATATTTCTGCAGGATAATTTCTCTGCATTGTACTATTGCTTATTTCCATAGCCTTGTCTTAACATTTTTTTCTTCTCATAAAAAGTAGCCTGAATCTCCTAGGAGGTGGGAGGAAATTCAGTTTTATTTATCATAGCTGGCACTAAGTGACTCTCCCCAACCCCCGAAAGCAGCAAAGAATAAATAGTAGGTCTTTTCATGTAACAAGGTTTGAAATCTGATAAATGTGTACCTCAGTAATGTGAACTTGATGCTTATATCCATGCAAAATATATGCCATGAATTACTGTATTCTTACAAAATATTTACATAATTATGTGAAAAGTTGTGTATTTCCAAATGTGTGGACAATATATATTAACCTTTATACTAAAAGTCCTAGGGTTTTTTATTTTTATATTTTCTTTAAATCAAGATCACCAGGTTAAGTTGCTTACCTTACTCCATAATACTGTATCACAGTGCAATTACTAGAATTGGTGATTACTGAAGATATACTAGCAAACATTCTAATGATGGAGAATTAAAAGGAAACATAATTTTGGAAAAACCCTGCATTTCTGAATAACACTCTGACCTACAAAAAACTAATATGGTGCTTCCCTAGCAATTATAAATACATTAGATAGTTGAGAAGTTTTTCAGAGTTGCTTTGTGTTATAAGCTTGAGAACATTTTTAATAATGTTAAGTTGCAAAGCCTATGGAGACTTCTTAATGTATTAGACAACAGGAACTTTTTCCTGAGCATTGGCCTTCAATTAATACTCATAATGGAGACAAAGTGTGAGATCGTCTCTTAAAGCCAAGTCATTGAGCATTTACCTAACAACCATAAGAGGGAGAGCTTTGGGCTATTCATCACAATAAATGAGCCAAAGATTCCCAAGGTCATCTTCCAGTAGTTCTTTCAGTCTGAAATACCTAATCTACGTCTGATCGTTTGTGTTTAATTTACCCTATTAGATAAAGTGAAATTTGGAATGCACTGTCTGTTGTATGCAGAGCAGAGCTGTAATGTACATTTTCGTTTAAATGTGCATGCAAATACACATGTGTACATATATGATCTTGGAAATGCAGTCATCTTTCCCTGAGGTGTGGTGTGCATACAGCAGATCCATTGTTCTTCAACAAAATAGGGGAAATGGCTACTTCAGATAAGGAAATAAACATGAAAACAAATATCAAATTTGATCAGTGCAAGTTTTATATTACCACAATGTATTTCATAAAAGTTGGCATAGTTTGAGGGTGGGTAGACTTTGTGCTTGTGTGATCTACGTTGCTTTTTCCTAGCACCCTGAGTCAGGTGCTAAATACTTGAGGGAGAAGGGGTGGTAAAGAGATCCCTTGCCAGTCTTCTACAAATCATCTGCAGAGAACCCATGGTTCTCAGTGCACCTTCTGCCCACCTCTGGCTTAGCATACCAACCCCCTAGCACCTGGACCAGCACATTATTCCTAGTAGCAGTAACACAAAGTCAGAAGTGGGAAATTTATTTCTTATATTGATACCATGCCTCTTTTCCAAGAAACCCAAAGCTGCTTACATATTCCTCCTGCTCCCCTTTTTATCCTCATATCAATAGGTGAGGTAGGTTGGGCTCCTCATATCAGTAGGTGAGCCCAACGCTACCCAGTGACCTTTATGGCTGAGTGGGAACCTGAACTCAGAACTCCTGTCATAGTCCAGTGCTAAGCATTTTGTCACATTGACTCTTATTGGTGAATTAAGAGTTTGCCAAATAAGGAACAGAGAGGCACTTTGAAAATGGAAAGACAAGGCATGGAAGGATAGAAGCTACAGGAGCTTCCAATATGAGCCATGTAGGTTAGCACATGTAGGGTGTGGAATATCTAAGTCCAAAGAAGTAAACTCAAAATGGGTGCATTGTCCTTGTTTGAGAGCAATGGAAACTGAGGATAATTACCACAGAGAGCACAAACTGCTCCTTGGTAGGTATGCTTTTATGCACAATTCAAAAAAAGTAAAATTACCCTGGCTTCCTAGATACTGCTGAGTACCAAGTTAGAAACAGAAACAGAGCGAGTCAGAAGGGGTCTCCTGGGCCATCTAGTCTGACCCCCGGCTCCAGCCAGCTCTGCTCACAACAGGCCCACCATGTGCATGTCTAGCCTATCTTTGAACACCCTCATCGGTGGGGCCTCAACCACCAAGTTATCTGGGAACAGTCAAAAAAGGACTGACATATCCAAATAGACTCAGAGCCATACCAGTGTAGTTATAGAAACTTGCTACCTTGTACACCAAATAAATCACTGGACCCAATTAGCAGCTTGAGAACTGACACAGTATCCTGTGAGACAAAGCTTCCTTCAGGGCAACTTTTACAATACAGTGAGGTTATGCCACAAATGGAAACTGGTTAGAGACAACTGCAGTGGGTCTCCACCAGGGGATGAAACCCCTGAGTCTGAGTATAGAAAGCTAGAGATATGTCTGAATTTATCCTTAAGCAGACATAAGAGGGAGCAAGTATCATGCTATAATATGGATTGGACACTGCAGTAGGAAAGGAGATTGCTAGAAAGGGTCACAAAGTACCAACTGAACTTCAGGCTGACAAGAGTTTATTCCTCGACCAAAATGCCCAAACTTGAGGGCTGTTGTGGATTTCATGACTAAAAGATAGAAGGTTCTTGGTTTAGTGGGTTAACAACTTGACTCGAGAATGAAAGAGAACTTCAGGAAGGATCCTGATTTAATTTTTATTCAGTTTCCTAACTGCCTTTCAATACCATAGCCTTTGCAAGTCATTATGCAACATAAAGAGGATAAAATGTAAAGTACCATACTAAATAAAACAATTTTAAATGAAATGGAGCTATGAAGATAAATTTTCAAAATATCCATTAACATCCATTTTAAAGCCAAGTAAAAGGAAAAAGAGGTGAGTCTTAAAAGCTGCCAGATACAGGACCAGCCATATCTCTCAAGGAAATCCATATGATAGGAAGGCCCCTTTTTAAATCCTGCTTTCCTTACTGATCCTGGTGATGGGCAATGAGTGGCCTCTTCAAAGACAGGAGAGCACCACCTGAACCCAAACTATTCTGAATTTGACAGTCAAGCCCATCAGTCTTGGGCCGAAAAGCAAATTGGCAGCTGGTGCAGCCTTGTGATACAGGGCTTGCCATGTCTAGGCCCAGCAAGGGTGGAAGCAACCATTTCCTGCCCCATCTGGAATTTTAGTCATCAAAGGCAGCTCCAGGAGGACTACACAGAGGCTCTACAGCTCCTAGTTAACTGTAACTAGGCCATGCTTGCTGGAGTGCCCAGTGGTGCATTAACCTATCGATCCATTTTGGGCCATATTTCCTGCCCAGGATCTAGATTGAGCAACATAGTGGTATGCTGAAGGTGAGATAGTGAACTGGTATAGTCATAAAGGCATTTCCATGTACTCAGTGTGCCCACAGGAGCAAGACTTTTTAATCAGCTGAAGACACACATTGCTTAATGACACCCCTGTTATCATCTGAGGCTGTCATTCCTGGCATCCATCAAGCCTCTTGCTGCCCTTTTTCATTCTGGAGAAACATGGCATGAAGTTCAAACTTAGGTGGATTGTAATTTGAACCTTGCTATGTTAGTAATGCTTGTACTGAGTACTGAGCTTGGATAGCTATCTGACAAGCTTTATTATTTGAATTGACATTGATTACAGATTCAGCCTTTACACCCACTTCCTGGAATGGCCCTATCTAGCATGCTCACAAGATCATCTCAGAAAATGCTAGTGGGCTGAAATGAGATCGATGCGTAAGTAGTGCTTCCTGTTGCAAGTTTCATCTCAGATTGAAAAGAGACATTGAAACATAGAAACAGCGCGAGTCAGAAGGGGTCTCCCGGGCCATCTAGTCTGACCTCCGGCACCAGCCAGCTCCGCTCACGACATGCCCACCATATGGACGTCCAGCCTCTCCTTGAACACCCGCACCGATGGGGCCTCAACGACCTCTTGTGGAAGCCCATTCCACACCCTTGGGGTCCTGACTGTCAGGACGTGCTTCCTGGCATCCAAATGGAACCTTGGCTCCCTGAGCTTTGCTCCATTGGAGCGTATCCTGCCTTCCTCTGCAGGGGAGAACAGGTCTCTACCCATCTCCATGTGACATCCCCTCACATACCTGTATGTCGCCAACATATCCCCTCTGAGTCTCCTCTTCTCCAGGCTGAAGAGACCCAGTTCCCTCAGTCTTGCCTCATACGGCATCCCCTGCAAACCAGCCACCAACCTTGTGGCCCTACACTGCACTGACTCCAACCTGGCTATATCCTTTCTGTAATGAGGGGCCCAAAACTGAACACAATACTCCAGTTGTGGGCGTACCAGAGTCGTGTAGAGTGGTAGTAATACCTCTCTTGATCTAGAAGCCACACTTCTGGCTATGCAACCAAGGGTGGCGTTCGCCCTCTTGACCACCGCATCACACTGCTGACTCATGTTTAGCCTGCAGTCAACCAGTACCCCGAGGTCCCTTTCACAAGTGCTGCTCTCCAGCCACTTGTCACCTAACCTGTACTTATGACACCTATTCCTATGCCCCAAGTGCAAGACCTTGCACTTACCCACATTGAACACCATCCTTCTGTCTCCTGCGCACTTCCATAGTCTGTCCAGATCCTTTTGGATCTGGAATACCTGCTCCTCAGTTGTGGCCACTGCTCCAGTTTTAGTGTCGTCTGCGAATTTGATCAGCAGACTGTTCACCCCTTCTTCCATGTTGTTAATGAAAAGATTAAACAGGATCAGCCCCAGGACAGAGCCCTGAGGGACCCCACTTGTCACTGGCTGCCATCCTGATGATTCCCCGCTAATGGTTACCTTCTGCTTTCGGTCAGTCAACCATGCCCTAATCCACCAGACAGTGCTTTGGTGTTTCCCAAAACTCCTCAGTTTCTCCACCAGGATATCATGGGGCACTTTGTCAAAGGCCTTGCTGAAATCCAGGTATACCACATCGACTGCATCCCCTCCATCTCGCCATCTTGAAACCTTGTCATAGAATGGCAATTTCCACTGGGGGAAGTTTTCCAGTCACTAAACTTAAGCCAAGGCACAAGGGTGATGACTACAAGAACATAAGGCACATAGTATAGTTGTGCAGAAAACCAGATGGGGAAAAAGATTCTGAAATTCAAAGTAAAAGCTGGCAACTGGCTAGTATAGAAAGGTAATAAATAATATGTAAAGAAAAGTTGAAAAACGGGTACTATTGTCCTAAATGTAAAGGGCACATGCACAGGGGTAAAGGTACTAGTGAAGAACACAGCATCTTTAGGAACAATGAGGGGAAAAATAGCTTTCAACAATATAGTAGATAAAATCTGTATCACATCATGTGCTCAGTATCTATGGATGATTGACCAAAGGATGCTAGTGAAAGGTTAGATTGCTAATGGGTCTGGAGAGGCTGACTAAATTTGTTACAGATAAATGTTAAGTGTACAGAAAAATATTTTCAGTTGGAAGGGTTGTAACACATTACATTTAATGTCTCTTCTGGTTCTCGTCTTACCTTTTCTTTCTGGATAGTCATCAGCATGAAAAAATATACCTTTGTTTTATGAACATCAAGCATCCTGGCATTTAGATAGCTATGGTAACAGTGTTCCAATATACCGCAGCATATTGAGTTTGGGCTTCATGTTACAGAACATACCATGGGGTAGACCTGCAGACACTCCATGTTCCCTGCTGCCAGTTAGAACAGCTGCTGTTTAATATGTAAACCTATTTTTGATATCCAGAACTGCTTTTGATAACCTCCAACACTGTGTCAGGTGGGACAATTTGGAAGAGATGGCAAGGGTGGGGGACCTCAGACTTCTCGAGATGGTCATTCCCCTTTTCCTCGGTCCCCATTCCCCAGTGTTCAGGTGGTTTCTCGGCTTTTGTGCCGTGTGCCTTTCATTCTGAAAGGGTGAAATGTCTTTCCTAAGGCCTAGTTACTGGCATTAAAGGATACTGGCATTTTTGCGTTGCTTTGCCCTTGATCCTACCCACCACTGGAATGCAGCCCAAGGGAGCTTGGGCTCCCTGGCTAAAAGAGGTTCCTCAGGTTTGTTTTGTTGCATTGGCTGCATGTTATGCAGCATTCAGTGAAACCTTCTTGTAGCTCCATAGTCATGTTTAAGAGAATAAGTAATAGCTACTTCACTGA